TTGCAGAATTGCATGTGTTCCAATTTCAGCGAGCTTTAGATGTATTGAGCAAGGACTAGTAGCAGAACCTTGGTGATGAAGTACCCTGTTAAGTTGCTATGCATGTTTTTGAAGGAAATATGTTGTTTGTCCATATTTAAATCCTTACCTTTGCCTAAATAAACCCGAGATAAGCCCAAATCCCCAATTTATCTCAAGTCAGAAATACTTCTTTTTCCTAGTAGATTGATGAGATTTTGACTGGTAGTCTTAAACTTTCTATAATTTTTGTTATTCTTTCCCTCTTTAAGCAGGGCCCTCCTCTGTTCATGATTTCTCTAGATAATGAAACTAGGATAGATCTAAAGTTGATGACCTATGCTATAAGTCACTCATTTATTTGTGTAGAGAACAGGTTAAATGACTTCGAATTAATTCCTTTATTGAAAAGATTTATGAGAAAATACAGATAAAAAAGGCAATAAAAGAGTGGTTATGAAGGAAATGGTATTTGTTTTCTGGGATTTGCATTCATGCAATGTGACCTGGGTAATGGCTCATGGCCAGCGGTTCAAGTCTGTCTTGCTCGTGGTAGGTAAACATGATTAAAAAGCTATCCTAATTCTTTTATGTGCCTAAATACGTAGTTTGCTGATTTATTTTTCAGGATATTAGCTAATTCCAAGCCATGCCCAAAGTGCAAGCGGCCAATTGAGAAGAATCAAGGATGTATGCATATTACCTGCACCCCTCCCTGTAAATTTGAATTTTGCTGGTAAGAGTATATAAACTATAGCAACTCCTGTTGGTCTGGAATCTTTTCTATTCCTTGTGTTTATATTTTTACGGTCTCCTTGACGACTATAGATAGGTGGGATTCATTGCGATTCTTTTCATCAGGATAGGTCTAGCATCAGATCTGTGGATTGAATTGCACTGCAAAATTTTCAATTGTCCAACTTCAGGTTTTAGAACCTTCGATATTATATTATATCTACTATTTTTTACAATTGGGATGGTTGTTACAATGTCATGTAAGGATGACTTTGTGATTCACAGGAAAAAAAAGGTGGACTGTCTGACATATACAGCGTCAAAGTCACTATTTGGATGCTTGATACAATGTATGATGCTGTAGCTTATTCCAGATCTGTTTGATTACAGGCTTTGCCTTGGTGCGTGGTCGGAACATGGGGAGAGGACTGGTGGTTTTTATGCATGTAACCGTTACGAGACAGCAAAACAGGAGGGAGTGGTATATTCTGTTTTTGGTTACTTTTTGTTTCTTTAAGTTTTTCTTTCCCCATATTGCAATCTGTATCTTGTAATCATTACAAAATCGATGTACTGTATTTGGTTTTGAACTTTTTGATTTTAGTATGACGAGGCTGAGAAGAGAAGAGAAATGGCCAAAAACTCGCTTGAGAGGTATACCCACTACTATGAGCGATGGGCAACAAATCAATCAGTAAGTGCCAGTTTGTGGCTATTCAGTGTTGGCTTGCTTTTGAATGTTAGTTGAGCAGGAAGGAATGCTTGTGTTTCATTGTTTCTTGTGAGTTACAGTGTTACTGACCGGCGCCAGTTATGGCTGAACGTGTAGGCTATTTGAATGGAAGTACCAGAAATTTTAATTGGAAATGTTTTTCGGGCTATCATCTATGCCGGTGTGTTTATGAAAACTCTGCTGAGAAGACTTGCTTTCTAAATGTAGAGAATTTTTTTCCGTGGTGCATATGCATACTATGACACTGCATTTTGGCTTCCCTTCCATGCCCTTCCAAGCAACGGTTATTTTGTTTCATTGATTGATGGCTGGTTGTCTGACATCATAGGGTGAGAAAATCAATCTTACATCCAAAATCTCAGAATCAATAAATTATTACCATTTCTTTTTCTTAAGTGAAACAAACCAGTTAGTTCCTAGCATTTACAAAATGTGGTTACTTTTGGCCGACAAATTGAGATTGAAATATCAATATCTTGCGTCTGATCTTGTTTATTCTTCTTGCAGTCAAGGCAAAAAGCATTGGCAGACCTGCAACAGATGCAAACTGTGCATGTAAGTAGAGGAACTTTGTGGATTATTATGCTTAGGCCAGGACGTGGTCATATTTGAAGTTTAATACTTCAAATTCAGTCTAGCACTGTGTCCAATGTCCATGCACGCTCTCTCTATTTGATGGAGTGACTAATTACGTTCTTTTGTAGCTGGAGAAGCTGAGTGACAATCAGTGCCAACCTGAATCCCAGCTGAAGTTTATTACCGAGGCATGGTTACAGGTAAACAATTCATGTTGTAACACACTGCAAAATTATAAGCTGACTTGGCGTTAAATTGATGTCACTGGAATGTGTTCTGTTTGTAGATAGTTGAATGTCGCCGGGTTTTGAAGTGGACTTACTCCTATGGCTATTATATACCTGAACACGAGCATGCCAAGAGGCAGTTCTTTGAGTATTTGCAAGGTACTGAATTTTATTTGTTATTATTTGATGGTTATACTTAGCTGTTTCGTGTCCTAAGCATATGCTAGCACACAGGTGAGGCAGAGTCTGGTTTAGAGAGACTACATCAGTGCGCAGAGAAGGAGCTTCAAGTGTACCTGAATGCTGAGGGCCCATCAAAAGATTTCAATGAATTTCGCACCAAGCTTGCTGGATTGACAAGGTATTTGTCAGTAAACTTCTATCTTCGATCGAGTTATCTGCGTTGGTTTGTCCCTGGTCTCATACTCTGGCATTAAATATTGCGTGACAGTGTCACTAGGAACTACTTTGAAAATTTAGTCCGGGCTTTAGAGAATGGTCTGTCCGATGTGGATGCTCATGGAGGCACCAGCAGGACTGGAAGCTCGAAAAGCTTATTAGGTGTTGGTGGTAGTAGCAGTAGGGGAAAGGGCGGGAAAGGCAAAGGGTCAACATCCAGGTCAAGTGGCGGCCCTAGTAGAGCAAGTATTGATGATTCAGGTCACTGGTCCTGTGAACATTGCACATTTGCGAACATCAAACCGGCCACCATATGTGCAATGTGCCAACAGCGTCGATAGTTCTGTCCACCTTGATACCAAACTGCTATCAATCAGCAAACATAACGGGGATACTGCCCTAGCCGAGGTTTGCTGGTCCTTCCCCCCAGCAGAAAACTTAGGACTGAATGATCGTTGCCAGGGAGAGGAGGTGAGATTGGATGTGGAGGTGAAGCCTACTATCAATCTGCTTCGCAATGCTCTGCAGTTGGGGGGCATAATTATGACACTTGAACTGAAAGCGGAGACTTCCCCTTTTTTCCTTTCTCTCGGGCAGTTTGTTGTAAATAGGTTCATATGATGTTAATCTAAGCGTGCTTCGAATGCCAAAGCACTGTGTATTCATTCAACTGTAATCTTCCTGTCACTTTGTGGGATCTTGGGTAAAATTAGTTGCGTCACAGTACTGTCTGTTGCTGGCGGGTTTCCAGGAATCAAGCTTGTTGTGACCGTAGAAAGCTCAATTAGACAATTACTATGCCATTCGACTTTTCATTTTGCAGGGATCCCGCCCTTTCATCAGTCCCTTATTTCATAATTTTGCGCCACAATTCATTTTGGACCTTTCTTTTCGTGTAAGAAAGATGGGGAATCTATCTAAATATATAATGGGCAAAACATGGGTTGGAATTTTTCAATTTCAAATCATTGCACCCAGTTCATATTTATATATTAAAAATGTTATCATTAGAGTTCAAACTTTGGTTCGGCTGAATGAAGAAAAAGCATGATAACCAACTAGATTACATTTCATTTACTGTTATTTCTTTGATTGAGCTCTAGGAATAAGTTTGGTGATGGTGCTTCTATATTTATATTTTATCTTAAGTTATTCATATTTTATAGAAAGAAATTAGTTCTGAAATCGGAATTCAAGTAGTATTGATTCAAACATTAATATTAAATTGTATATGTTGTTTAGTTAAGACAAAATACAGAAGTGTAACCAAAATATGGACCTTTGTGACGAGTATAATCATTTTTTTGTGACAAATCTACACAGAATATAATGATAAAATTGGAAAATGAGAGTATCATTTCAAATTTCGTGGCCTGTGAGTGATTCTAGGTATAAATGAGTTATAATTAACCTCATTATACAATTTTTACTCTTTATAATAATTAATTTAATCTTAATATTTGCGATGTTTGAAATATTTTATGTATGATATAGAGGTATAATTATTATTTGTGACATCAGTTGTAATGTATTCAAATTTAGTATTTCATCAGGTAGTCAAAATCGAATACTAGGTGCATTTATGACTGTTTTTATCTTGTTGTTGTGAATAGGTAGAAATTTGATTATTATAATGCATAAAACTATACCAAGGCACATGGTCGAGCTAGCACGACATAGTTAGAGCATACCATGAAGACAATGTATATGGATCGGCCATGTACAAGCATGAAGGTTTCATGGGTCGTACCAGACTTAAACTTCGAGGGCTCTCGCACAAGTGCGATAACCACACAATCTATATTAGTGAACACATGTTTATGGAGAAATGCATCATTTGATAAAAATAAAACAAAATATTCTAAAAATAACATATAAAATTTGAATTAATTAGTAGTTTCTCACATCAACGTGTGACGGCTCATATTCTAAAAGGTTTATAAAATACAGTCATTGTTTATTTTGAGGCTCAAACCTTTTTCAATGTATACAACTAAAATTCATTTATAAAATCATTCTTGATTAACTTTATAGCTGAAAAGTCTTTTTTACAGCTTGCAGTAATAATAAACAACGTCAACAATAACTTTAGAAGCAAGTAAAGTGAAAAAGAAATTGGGATTTAGTTTTTTGTTTTCATTGAATGAGTTAGTATTTATTTGCAAATGTGGGGGGAGGGGGATTTTTGTCTAAAAATTTGAGCAAGAGTTGAAACTCATATATAATTTATTTGAATATTTAATATTGTAAATTGAATTGGAGTATTGAACATTTTGGAAGCGATATATAATTCTTAAATTAGTATTAATTTTCAGTCCGGTTGACCAATAGCCTTAGACTTTTTGCTAATCCGATATGGATCCAATAATCATAAGATGAGATTTAGTTTAATATGGCTTCAGTTTAAAACCATTTTTTATGTGTAATGAATTTGTACGACAAATACATGTAAAGTGAAGATGAACCTGATTATGCATTTTGATTCTTTAGATAAATACAATGGTTTAAGACTTTAAGCAATGAACTAACTATACATTCACTCGATTAGTTTAACGAGTTATGATTTTATCACTTCCAATCTCGTGTTGTCGACGTATTCCATTGATGCCATCGTCGCCTATCTCCTGCCAGCCGCCATCTTTTTTCTCGCTGCCCACTTGACACGCTAAACACAACACCAAACTGCGACCAAGTGTAATCGCAGTCCGACAATGCAGAATAGTGGCAAGTTCTATTTATCAACCCAGGGTCTGATCTACTTCCTACTCCGTTATGATTTATTATCTAGCAAACTAAGTTGAGTGAATGTGATTTTAGCTAAGGCAGTAAGAAAGCAGGAAATGGTTCGAAGTTCTTAAGCAGGGGAAGAGTCACTCGGGAATGACTCCCTCTAGCTCCTTAGTTAGGTCAAAGTTGTAATTACCTTTGGTTGATTTACTGTTGATTAAATTGTGGAAGATCCAACAGTAGCTTGGAATCTCTTAAGCTGACCAAGCCCTCTCAGACAGACTAATCGGCAGGTGACTAGCCTTCACCGGGATAGACTGTTGAGGCAATAAACACAGAACTCCACTACTGGAATTGGATTCCAGTACAAAGCAGTAAATCGATTAACTCTCGTATAACCAATTGACTACTACCGATTGATGAAGCTCTAACAACCTAATAAGATTCTATCTATCTCATGTTGCAGTAGAAATCAAGAAAAGTTTATCAAACTTCAATTGACTCAATGAATCATGCATCAATCGATTATAATCAAGCAGTATATCAATCCAAACGTCATTACAATCAAGATTCCTAACACATGGAACTAGGGTTCTTCATACCCAAGTGAGAGAGGGTTCTACTCCATAGAGAGAGAGAGAGAGAGAGAGAGAGAGGAAAACAGAAATCAGAGCAGTCATACTCATAAAGATGGGGATAATCTGCTCTAGGATGTCGATCTTCACTCTTGGGGATGCAATCTGGGCTTCAATGGTGAGAAATCCACTCCAAATAGCTCCTAGGATTTGTTCTTCGCACTTTCTCTCTCTAAAACTCTGTTTTCTGCTCAAAAAGTCGTCTCCCTTTCCTTTGGATCGAATCTGCCTAAAAAACCCGATTCTGGGCGAAATACGGGCAGAAATACGGTCGTAATTCTTCACTGCCCGTATTTTGCCCAAAACGCGCGTTTTGGTTAAGTCTCAACGCATCCAAGGCTCCTCTCGGCACTAAAAATACGGGCATGGGAGGGAAAAATACGATTGTATTTCTCATGCCCGTATTTCTTCCTCCGCTCCTGTTTAATGCTTCGATTATCCCTCAACCGAACTTTGAATCAGTCGTCGTGTGATCCCAGACGCTCGTAGTCTCGTTCTCTTTCTTTTCATGACAAGATTCCATGATTATTTGTCTATAATATGATGTAGAAATTCATGTTTCCTCAGGTAAAGCTCGAGTTTCTTCTCCCCGAATGAACAAATGATCTCCGGTTGACTTGAAACTTGCGCTTATACTTCACTTTACATGCTAGGACCTGAAATGTGACAAAATAACACAACCTAGCATAAAATAGGCAAAGACACCACAAATTTGAGCCAAAACGGTTAAGAAACAAGAGTGCAAACATGTGCAAATACGACGCTATCACCTCCTCGATCGTCGCCCTCGTTGCCACTACTCTTCTCCCGCCGGCCTCCTCTCTCCCCGGGCGCGTCCCTCCACCACCACTCTTCCTTCCCTCCCCTTCTTTTTTTAAGATTTGTGATTTTTTTATTTTAATATATGTTTTTTTTGGTCTGGTCAAGTGGTAGTTTTTTTTCGTCTAGTAGTATTGTTATCACTAAACTGATAACACTACCATTGGTAACGTTATCTGTGCAGTGATAGTGTTATCGATAGTGATAGCGTTATCAGTCCACCGAGTACCGTTACCACTACACTGATAATGCTACCACTCCATTGTAACGCTACCACACGCATTGATAACTTCACCACTCCACTCGAGTGGTATCGTTATCGATGGAGTGGTGTCATTGTCGATGGAGTGGTAACGTCATCATGTGGACTGATACAGTTTTTTTTAACGCATTGGAACATTTTTGCGGGTGGCCGAAGAGAGTTTGATGGAGGGATTTCACCGGCGGAAGTCTGTCAGTCGGAGACAAAGAAGCTGCTGGAAAAGGAAGAGAGCGAGATAGAGAGAATAATATATTTAATATAGATTTAAATTTTAAAAAAGCAATACATTTAATATGTGTTTTTATTTTTAAATTTCCAACGTGTAATTAATAAAAAAAGTAATTGATAAAATATTTTTTTGGCATACCCAAATTGTCATTTGGTTGTGAAAATCAAAACTCCTAATGGGTTGTGATATAATCCTGCCCCAGGGGAACACACTTGTCGTTATTAAAAATGGGGTGAGGGAACAAACGCGTAGGGGCAACCAAAGAAATAAATGATACATATAATGTCATGTGTTTATAATTGAAAATACTAAAATAAACTAAGTAGTAGTTAAACATCAGGGATATGTTCATTTCTTCTTGATTTCTCAATCATTCACAAATTCTTCTTCTTTGTAAGTGCTTTGCTCTTCATCCTCCTATTCGCTAGAATCTCCAACGCCAATAATTCCTATAGAAGGAACATCATCAATGCCTACACATTTAAATCTAGAAGAAGAGAAATTCACATTCCATACCACAGTTTTGAAAGCTACGTAAAATGTTATATAAAGAAATCAAAGTGTTCAGCAAGAAGAAGTTATCCAACAATCATAGTAAGCACGAACCAACAAAACACTTACTATTGTCAAGATCTTCCAACTCCTCCAACTCCTCATCCTCGAGAGGTAATGTTGAACTTGCTAATCAATTTTCACTACAAATGAGAGCTTTCATAATCTGCATAGTCAAAGAACTCCTGGAACAATCCAACACACATGCTCTTATGCTAAAATCACTCTTAGATGCTATTACTGATATGAGGGCAACAAAGATTTCCTTTGCAATCTCGCTCAAAGTGGGATATCTAAAAAACATAGGCTTTGCACTACATCAAGACATCATAGTTCATATTCTTGTCATTTGGTTCACGAAGTTCAACCAAATTTCTTTCATACTCAGTTGCATGAATACTACCCTCATCACCATCATATTCAAGCTCATCATTAAAAGTATCACTTCCCACATCGACCACACTCATTGAAGAAGTAATTGTTGCACTAACTATTGTGGAACTACCATAAGAGTGTGTCTCTCGACTAGGAGGTTTGATCATCGCTTTGTAGTGATTAAAAAATTGGTAAGCTCTCCACGAATCTCATCCAACAATTCATCCCCTCATACTTTTGTATATAACTTCCACAAAGCATATTTAGGATACTTCAACTCGTATAAAAACCACTGTCATATTAGAACAATTTATTCGTTCTTAAATTCTCATTATCTATCTCATACTAATATTATGCTACCTTTGCATGCATCCTAGCTGCCATATTACTTACCTACTCCTCATCATCGACCTCAATTTGCTTGAGATGATGGAAAACATTACAAAGCTCTATAAGAAAGAGATGAGATGATCACATATTTAGTACCATATACAAGCACTACGAGTTGATGGAAATAACTCAAGTGATTGCACAAATTTCTAACACTCTCCCAATTTGATGAACTTGGAGGACAAATTGTCACCTTTGTACTTATTAGCCTTGAGAAGATAATTCCAAAAGTCTCCATCCTCTGCCTCAAGAAAGTTATATGCCTTCTCATACACCTCAAATGCTGCCAACGTCAAATAGGTCGAATTTCACCTAGTGAGAACATGCAAATACAACATCTTCCGGTAGTCAATGTGATGGAAGGTCACACACTTCTTAAACGTATCCAACCTGCTAGATGAAGCACGAACCCATTTTATAGCCTCCATAGTATGTATGATAGTCACCTCAATTTCCTCCCATCCATCAGTGATAATGATTAATAATAATATGAGCCACAAAACGCAGATGCAAATATGTCCCACCCTTGATACTACCACCCCAATCAGTCAATTTCTCCTTCAAGTAGCCAACCGCAGTATCATTTGCACTTACATTATCAATTGTGACTGAAAATACATCTTTGAAAACTCAATTTTCCAAAATACAAACAATTGCCACACAAATATCAAGTCCTATGGCTCTGGTCGTGAGACATAACACTATGACTTTCTTGTGTAACTTCCGTTCATTCCCGATAAAGGGAGCAGTCAAACTTAAGTGATTAATTTTTTTTTTTTGAATAAAAGTCCAACAATATGTTGTAAAAGAGATCCTACCATCACATTTGTCTTTAAAATAATCCACCAATTGGTTCCTCCCTTCAACAAACAATTTGAAGCAATCTTATCTTATACTATTCATAAAAGGGATCCTAAACATAAGACATGCAACACGACATATTTTTTTAAACTCTCATCGTCAATAAACATAAACAACTCATCCTTACTTATCATTTGCGCTAATGCATACCTAACTTTTCCTTGTTAAAATTTCCAATTGCTTAACCTTTTTTCATCATTTGAATATGGTTGCAGGCTAAATTTCATTTGACCGCCTCCTTCTTTCCTTTTTTTCCTTCCATGTTGTAGTATGTGTACGAAGACAAAGTGTCATTTCGTCAAGTAGCACAGCGGTATTGCAGAATAAACATCTTGACTTCCTCAAGGTTTTCTTCCCATCCTTTCTGACATTTGAACTTGGCACAAAAAAGCTCAAACTCATCATATGCATCTGACCTAAGTTTGCATATCCTCTTATTGCTCTTAGAAGGGTTCACAATAAGTGCAAAATCAGTCACAAAGAGATGAGGATTTAGAACAATATAAGCACCACTCAGAGCGGAGGATGAGCTTCTTGTTCAGGAACAACAACACTTGGAGATGCAAAGTGGGAAACACTTCCACTTGATTCACCACTTTTTTGTCTCTTCTTGTTCTTGACAGAATTAGGAGGTAAAGAAGATTTGTCTTTCCTTCACTTGTTCTCGTCCCATATAAATCCATACAATCAAGGGTTAATACCTTAAATTGGCCCGAACTTTACACAAACATACTACTTTGGTTTATAGTTTCTGAAATTCCCATAATGACCTAAACTATGCACCGTCTATCCTACTTTGGCATGACCCGTAGATTGACCGTTAAATTGCCTGGTTAACATCATTGACTAGTGATCAATGGATCATGTCATTGCCTCGTCAGCCCAAAATCATTAAAAAAATTAAATTCAAATAATTTTTCCTAATTTCATTATTTATCATTTTTAAATAAAAATAAAAATTAAATAAATAAGGGGAGATTTACTTATCATCTCCCTCTCTCATATGATTATGCAGTTAAGCGCAACACTGCAACATCAGCGTCAACTGGCAGTAGCAGTAGCTTTGAGCGACAACCGGTGGCAATGACTCTTCCTTCTTCACTCTTCTGCAGCGACAAACCTAGATAGGAACTCAATGAAATTGAAGAATTAAAGAGACTATTTGGTTTTCTTTTAGCTTGCTGTCAAGCTTGTCTTGACGGCTTGTTAGCAAGTTCATCTTGCTAGCTTATTGCCATGTCATCTTCACACCCAGGATCTCATCAGCCGTCTTGTCGACTTGTCAGCAAGTTCATCTTGCTAGTTAGTAGTATTTCCAAGCAATAATCCTAGATTTTGCACAACATCGTATTCCATAGGGTCTTTTGATAGCAAGTATTTTAAAACTCACTACTTATGCTCGAATAACAATGCAAAGAATGTAAATGTACTATCTAATAACAAAAACAGATAAACAAGAAAGCAGTAAAAGAACTATTGTTTAGTTAGTTTCATCTACATGATCACATATACAATATCCTTAACAAGATGCATCTATGCATATCCTATTTACAATACCATATACCTTCCACTAAAGTATCCTAACGAGATTTCACTACATGCGAGATGACTACAACTAGCCAATGCGTGCTTTCACTTCATGCCATGAACTAATCATTAAAATAAGGAAGTAAGGATATCACATTTACTACTTAGGCCCTCAATGTGCCATAACAATGGTCTATAACATTGATGATCTAAGTATCAAGCATTAATCTCACATATATATGCATAGTCATGTCCAAGTAAGCATACATACACAAGGTAATAACACATCATATAAGAGTAGTTTTCTATCACTTAACATGACATTATAATCAATACCATAGCAACACATAATAGATAATAATAAAAAATCATAGAATGATAACTTCACTCATGAGACCTGTATTGATTTCCTTCTTCTTTCTTCTCTTTTCCATAGGCCATGTAGGACGCCATCGATTGACGACCATATTTCATCCGCCAAGAGGGATCAGTGATGTTTTAGCCTTGGCTTGGCAAAGAGCCGTAAACGTGTCCTTATCGAGAAGCGCTTCAAGGTGGGGTGGAGAGTTTTGGTGGCACTTGTAACTTGTAGAAGCTTCATCCACCACGAACCCGTCCTCATCTTGGTCACCATTTGCATCCTCAACCTCCCTTCTTCCTTCCAAACTTTGTTCCTCCCCTTGGAATCCTCAAGTTCCTCCTTCTCATAGCTCACTTCCTTCTCCACAACTTCCCTTCTCACCCTTTCTCACTCTTCCTCAAGCATACAATGGAGAGAAAGTTTCCAAGCAGTGTCTTCAATAAGATATACTTGCATATCTTCATTTGTACCTAACTCTTCAAAGCTCTAAATGGAAGATGGAAGGGTGCGGTTTACCTCCAAATGACTTGATTGCTTGATAACACCCAAAATGGTATTATTTAGAGCCCATATTTAGGTTTGTTTCAAGTCATTTTATGTTCTTCATGGTTACTATATCGCCAAATATACCTCTTATTAGTTCCTTTGAGAAAATATTAGCATATTAGGGTGTATTGGATGATATGTATGTTTTAAGTAAAAAAATGTGCACAAGTGTAGAGAAATTATCAAAATCCAGAGATCACAGCCAGAGCATGAATGATCACAGTCGGGAATAAAGGGCGCGAAGCTGAGGACCAAGATTGCAACTTTCAGTGCGATGATCACGATCGCGAAGATGGGGGCCTCAGGGGCGAACTTTTGGAGCAGCCAACAAGGAAGGAGGAGAAAGTCTTGATAGTCGACTCACTACCTTCTTCATCCGAGCTCGCGAAGAATATCGTGGCCACGGATCACGTATCGTGACCGTGAACTCGTGCCTCAAACTTTCCTACTTTCAAAGCGAAAAACGACAAGCTCAAGATCGCGACCTTTACTTCCCAAATTGAGGACGTGAACTCTCCCAGCATGACCGTGAACTTGCTCGAATCCTGGAAGTCTATAAATAGGGGGTACCTCCCCCTACATTTGGAGCTAAAATTGATTAAAGATTTTTGTTTTAAGAAAGAGAAAGTGAGAGAAAGAAACCGAAGGAAGGATAAGAGGAGGAGGAGGAGGAGGAAAAGAAGGAAAGGAGCTCTCCCACATCAAAACTTCTTCTATTTTCTTCCATATATCTTCTTCCCTTTTTATGGGGGTAGTTCTCTAAGGTACTATGGGTTAAACCCCAAACCCTAGCTTTAGGTTTTTAATGTAGATGTAATTGTGTAAGGATTTATGAATGGATATGTTTGTTTTAGTGAGTTTATGCTTCATTTATTCTTAAGTAGTCTTGGGTAAGTCGCCTAACTCTACCTTACTAGCCTACAATTGAGTTAACACTAGGTGGGAATTTTAGAGTTAAACTGGGTAGCGCCAACTGGCAGATTAAGGGTAGATGAATGATCTTAGAGTTCCTTAATGGATGTGGAGACCGAACCCCTTCTATAGGAATGTCTCCCTAAAACAATGCTACAGAAGTCGCACACGTTCTGGTAGAAGCATGTCTCTAGTATGCATGATAAACTAAACCTATTGAGAGTAACTATGGGAGAAAACCTAGCATGTAGACTTAGACTGAGGTGACAATGGGTCTTTGTGGGTCGTGGTAGGAGGGAGAGTACTTATTAAAATCCACAGATTAGAGAGTTCCACATCCTATCCTATAAATCCAACATAGTTAGCCATTTACATGATGAACTAGTCTAGGGCGAGGGTGGCACCCCGAAGTACCTTGCTTTATCTTTGCTTTCTCCACCAATACCTTGCGATCAACCTCCAACCCAAAACCCTAAACCGGTTGTCTAGATAACAACAAATTGAGAACTAGCCTAAGGTATCGTAACCCGCGGAATACGACCTTGGTAGCCACTATATTAGCAATGCCATTATGAGTTATACTTGACTCAGAATGGGGTAGTTAGGTAAGTCGTGCAAACGATTGATAACACCCGCACGGAGGTAGTAGCATCACGACCATTGCTCATCATCATTATCATGGGAGCTCTTCGGGATGAGTTCTTTTTGCTCCCTAAATTCCTCATGGTTCACCTCTTCAACTCCCTCTTTGAATGGTAATAGATGATCGTGAGTAAGTTGTGCACAGGCTTGCTCAATAAACCCTCATAGACTCTCCAAGTCGATAGAGGTTGTGGTTACGAGGTCCACATTGGAGCATCCTTCCTCGGTGCCCCAGGCGAATCGCTCCACCATGAGCTCCAATTGGCTCTTACGATCCGGTTGTGGAAGGGAGTTTTCTTGGTATGGGGAAGCTTCTTGATATCCCCATGAGTATGGTTGTTCTTCATGGAAGGGAGGTTGGTAATAGAACCGAATCCTTGACTTTCACCTCCTTGGTTGCTTTAGGAAGCTCGAGGAAACCACTCTCGGGTGTAGGTGGATACCCCCACATGTGGGTGAAGTCTTAAGGATCCATGGTTTGATACCTACAAACACACAAACACTAAAAAGGAAATCAAACAAACACAAACGCCCTTTGGAGGGAAGAGTGAGTGAACAAAACACAAACGAAACACACACAAAAACTATAGTAACAAACCAAAGCCTTTTCCCGATAACTTAGAATGTCCTCAGCAGTGGCACAAAAAACTTGACTCGCACTAACTAGAAATTCCCAATCGAGGGCCAAGCATAACCAATGATCGAGTGTAGCATAGGGTAAGTTTAATAAATTATCAAATCCACGAGACTCTAGATGTACCGTTACTTCAACTTAGGTTCATTATCTAGCCAAACAATAAGGTTGCGTATGGATAGGTGTATTTCAAATGTAAGATATTTGAAATACAAGTATTTAAAATGCATGTATTTGAAATACTAGCATTTGAAATACATGTAATTCAAATTCGTTGTTTGGATACTCATTTGTAATTTGTTTTTATTTTAAATTTTGTGATTTTTTATTTTAATTTTAAATTTTCTGGTCACTTACTACAAATGTTGGTAAATTACAGTTTGGTACACAAATGTATTTTTCCTGCAAATTAGTACCTAAACTTTTAATTTTTTTTACAAAAAGGTCTATAAATTTTGATGGTAAAATTACTTTTTGGTACCTTTATATATTTTGCATCACACTGTAGTACCTAAACTTTTAATATTTTACAAACAGGTCCAATCTTTTGTTTGGAGGTATTTCAAATCACTAGTTGTTGAAATGTATTTGAAGTTGAAAAGAAATACACTAGACATGTATTTAAAAATCATCTCGTGAATTTGACACAAATCCAAATACCAAATGTAATTAATATCCAAACACATGATTTGACATTTAGAAATCCAAATTACAAATACCATGTCCAAATCATTCTATCCAAACACACCCTAATAGTGATTAAGACTAAACTAATTACACTACTCCAACTAATTACAAGTTGGGAGCTAACATAGACATGAATCACCCTAGCTCCTCAATTAGACTGATGTTGAGTACTACCCTTGATCGATTGCCTCGATACTTCTACCGCGGAGGATTCTAGACTAGGTTGGACTTCCTATTCGAGTTAACTAACCTCACTCAATTGATGTACCCGGAGAGGCATACTGTACAACTGGCTTAGGAAATTGACGTGTCTACAACAAACTCCCATGATTGGGCAAAACCCAATATGATATTATGGACCCAATTCATAGCTTGATTTCCTTGTTCCAATCTCAATCCAAGCCTTCAATTATGCTCCAAAATCACTCTCTCTCTCTCTCTCTCTTTAGAAATCACCCTGATTCAACCAAGCTCTCCCTCATTTCTCCCCGTAGCTCAGATTTATACTCTGCAAAAACAGCCCGAACACAAGCACGAAACACAAGCGTGTTCAGCTCCACTTCGTCACTTATCAACGCACATCATTTTCGAACGGTGTCACGACTTGGGTGAAATCTTAACAGACGAGAGATCGTGATCTCTTAAATGGCCCACGAGGCTACAGCTGCACGTCATTTTACACAGGCAAAAAGGTATTAGAATTGTTCTAACGAATAAAAGGGGTCCATGCTAAATTGCAAGTTTGGTCACTTGAATTACTTATAAAGTTCACGTTAGCCACTAGAATTACTTTATTCCATCCGTAGTCACTTAAATTATGTTAACAGTCCGAGTTTGGTCACTGGCCGTTACTCTCCATTAACTTTTGATGATGTGGCAGTCAACTCTAATAATTGACTGTTAAATGAGTGACGTAACGATTTTAAAAAAATTAAATTTTAATATTTTAATTTTTCACCTCATTATCAAAATTATTGAAAAACAAAACCTAATTATCTTCACTTGAATTACTTATAAAGTTCACGTTAGCCACTAGAATTACTTTATTCCATCCGTAGTCACTTAAATTATGTTAACAGTCCAAGTTTGGTCACTGGCCGTTACTCTCCATTAACTTTTGCTGATGTGACAGTCAACTCTAATAATTGACTGTTAAATGAGTGACGTAACGATTTTAAAAAAATTAAATTTAACTATTTTAATTTTCCACCTCATTATCAAAATTATTAAAAAATAAAACCTAATTATCTTCATCCCTATCTAATGTTGCCTCCACCTTGTCCCCGCTATTTTCTTCCTTATTTTTCAATTCCCACTCGTCCCTTAATATTCTTCCCCCTTAAATTCACAAACCACTTCTTCCTCCTCTTTTCTTTCTACACCGATCTCACTTGGAACCAAGAAGAAGAAACAGGGACAATCCACAGATTCACAGATTTCACGAATTCAGGGGTCGTTTGCTTCATGGATTTATAAACGAGGGTTTTGTAATTTAAAAATCCAAGGATTTATCAAGGATTTGAGGCATCATGGATTTGTAACAATCCTTTGTTTGTTGGGATGTTTTTATCATGGATTTAAAGGTGTGGGATTTTGCTACTTGAAGTCAAAAATTACATTACTGCCCTTTTCTATATGTTTGACATGTTTATGATATGTACACAAAACAAGGACAAAACTTCAAAATTACCTTACTATCATTTTCTATATGTTTGACATGTTTATGATATGTACACAAAACAAGGACAATACATACTAATACGCATAATGTTGCCACATGGACAATAATAATAAACGAGAAAATTTCGTTTTAACTTTTAACGTAACATAATCAATTACCAATTCTTTGTCCTCCTTTTCAAAAGTAACATATAACAACATATATTAGAATCGGGAGAACAATGAATTACACGTTCCATGAAAAGGTCAAAGAAAACTAGAACACAAGAAATGATATAAAAAATCTAACTCATGTTTGCACATTAACTGAACGTTTATATTATTCATTTATTGTTAATTATAATGTATATTAGTTAAATTTGAGGGCAACCTTGGAATATTAAAAGTGCATGAGGGTATATGGGTAAAATGTCATCAAGGATTTATGTCATATTCCAAATCCCACATCAACATGTGGGATTTATAAGTCCGTGGGGTCCACGGATTTGGACCCTTAAAATCCATGGACCCCACGGATTTGGTCTCCAAAAAATATGCAAGCAAACAACGGATTGTACCTAAATCCTTGATAGTTGGTTTTTTGGTACCAAATCCTTGAAGCAAACGACCCCTCAGTGTCAATGGAGCTTCAGCTGGGTCTCGCTCTTCTCACCGCTGACACAAACAACAATGAAAAAAATTTGGTCTTCGGTAATAATTACAATAGTAATGCAAATCACGAGGTGATCGTAGAATCATGGCTTCAACTGTTTTTTCCCCCCAATTTCTACTGCTTTTTCTCTCTTTCAATTTTGTTTACACCTAAAATATTTTTGGCCTAATTTCAATGTCGTAATAATGAGTCTCGACATTTAATTCGATATCGCATGACCAAAATGATGTCGTTTGGAGTCGAGCAATACCGCGGAAATTTTAAGCGAGACCGCGAAGAGGCTCGGCGGTACCGCGGTACTTGAAACGACATTGGTTGCAGACCATGTGTGAGTCATGCGCAGGACATGTGTTGTTGTTGGACAAGGAATGTTTTTTATTCTATTTTTCCTTGTCGGAGGAGGAGAGTAACAACACCGTTTGGAGTCAAGCAATGCTGCGAAGGGATAAAACGGTGCCGCGAACCTCAAAGCTCAACGGCATCGCGAGACTGGGAAACGATGTCGTTTGGCTAAAAATGGCACCGCGACAAGCGGCATCGCGAGACTGGGAAACTGTGTCGTTTGGTTAAAAACGGCACTGCGACAAGCGGCATCGCGAATGAGTTAACGATACCACGAAACAAAAAACAGTACCGCAAGGAAGCTCAGCGGTACCGCGGCACTGGAAACAACACTGTTTACCAGAAAATAAGATGTGGGCCGTGCGTTTAGTATTGGTGTTGGAAAATGAGTTTTTAATTATTTTTATTCCTTGTCGGAGAAGGATAAAAAACAGCACCGTTTAGTGACAAGCAATGTCGCGGGTAGAACCAAGCGGTGTTGTTTAGTTAAAAACGACCGCAAGTAAACCCAACAATGCTGTGGTACGTGAAATATATAATTATTGTGTGTCGCCACGCTAAAAATGCCGCTAGTTAAACAACAACGCAATGGAATTGATGTCGCGGTCACAAATTCAGTGGCGTTGCGAGTTCGACAACGCCGAGAAATTCAATGATGCCGCAAAGCCAAAACAACATCGTGGAGCTCAACGACGTAGTGAGCTTGACGATGTTGCAAGCTGAGCAATGTCGTGAATGGGTTCAACGACGTCGTTATGGAAACTTTGTTGGTGGAGGTGTAAACGACGTCGCGGGCTCATGAAAATAACGGAGTTATTTTTCTTGCACGGGAGATTCGGGAATGAAGAGAAGATCAAAGCGGTTGAAGACTACGACTCTGTGGATAAGAGTGAAGACACATGGGAGTTCACGATGGAGCGGTTGAGGAAGCAGTTCCACAGGGCGTGAAGAATACGCAAGTGATTTCAAATAAAAGCAGCGGAGCAAGGAGAGAGGAAGGGGAGAACCAAATCAACACAGGAACAACTCTGGCAAAACTTTACCTTTTTCTCTGTAACTCCTTCGCGGAGCTCTCCTTCCAGGAAGGATCTCCATAGTTGTAGTCTTAGTCGTAGTCGCAGAGCTCTCCACAGGAATCTCCATAGGAGTAGCGGTAGTGTAGATTCCTCAAAAAACTCAAACACCCTCGTTCGAACGTAGTTTGGAGATGTGCGAACCGTAGTAACGGTCGTTCTTGGTTAGAAGTCAGAGGTGCATCGATCAGATCAACACCGCCCGGCGGTGGATATTTGACGGTCACGTTGATTTCACCATTTAGAGGTGCATCGATCAAATCAACGGCGCCGACATTCGGCGACGGATATTTGACGGTCGTCTCGATTTCAGCAATCAGCGGTGCATTCCGATCAAACGGCACCGCAAGAGTTTCCACCGCGAAACATCAAATCAACATCACCGGAAACGAATTCGGCACCGGCGGTGGCATTTGGTTTTCCCGAGGAAAAAAATTTCCTTGTTTTCTCAAATTATGCGTTTGAGGATTTGGGGGGGTTTTCGAAGCAGAATTGAAGCGGAAGAGGAGGGAGAAGAAGAGGGAGATTGCGACGGCGACGGAGATGGGATCGTGGGGTGGCCGTTGACCAACTCTGGCTTCTCAAATTCAAAACGGTTATCCTCCTGTATAGCGAAAAGAGCCGTCCAAGACTCCGAGGCCTTCATCGGCGATTGCACAACACTGATTTCCAAGAAGAGAAGAAGAGGAAGGGGAAAGACGAGGAATGTCCCGTGGCGAGGAGCACCTACCGGAGAAGAAACCCCCGTCGGCCAGCAATGCACGGCGGAGAAAAAACCGCTTAATAGAAAGCTA